AGAGGAACTGTGGCTGTCTGTTAGGAGACAATTAGAACTGAGCTGCATGCAATGGGTTGGCAAAAAAGTCGAGGAATTCCATCACCGATCATGAAACCTGAACAAAAGGAGCGAAGGTTGAACTGGTGCTTACAGCATAGAAATTTTAACTGGGACAATGTGATTTTCTCAGATGAAAGTTCTGTGTGGCTGTTTCCTAATACACTGAAATTCTGTAAAACCTTTGTATCAGCGCCCAAAGTACAGTCCAAAATTTAACGTGTGGGGTGGCATATCTGTGTTAGGGGCAACGCCCCTCTGTGTATGTGAAGGGAATATAAACAGTGAGCGGTACGCAGATATTCTCGGAGGACATTTACTTCCATATGCTCACGTGTTCTATGGAATATTTTTTGATTTTCCAGCAGAACAACGACCCAAAACATCGTTCAAAGCATTCACAGGCCTGGTTTCTGACCCAAAATATGACATTATTAGATTGGCTAAGCTATAGCCCTGACCTAAATCGAATAGAAAATGTTTGGGGACTTATGAAGGAAAGTGTCAATAAGAAAAATCTGACAAATATTGCTGAAATGAAAGAAGAGGTGGTCTGATATTGGGACAGCATGGACCACGACTTTCTAACTTCTTTGATCAGTAGTATGCCCCGCCGCATTGAGGCCTGCATTGCTGCCCATGGTGACTTGACAAAATACTAACTGTTCACCTGTCTTTAAATCTGGAGTTATGTTCTGCTTATATTCACATTTAATACGTGAGTAATGAGAGAATTACAATCTTAAATTCTCAATAATTTCTGGTTGTAGTGTATGTGGATATATAACAATGAACGAACATTGTGTGAAATAAACTGTACAGCAATGTATGTTAGACTTCAACCACTGGGATATAAGACATGTGATATCTTAGTCAGGCATCAATTAGGATCTTTTGAATTTCATTGGTTGATTCATATCACGTGAGGAAATAATAATGTTCTCTGGTCCTTGATTTCACTTAGTGACCACGCTGAAAATAATATATATGTGCGTAATATATGACTTTTGTAAAATAACTAACACTTTCCGTCAAGTATAAGTGGAGGATAGTGGTGTTCAGGTAATTATATTTAGACTGAAAATGAACCAGAATTATCGAGGGGGTCTGGAATATTCTGAACCAGCAAGTTAGGGAAACTTCCAGTGAAGCAATGGAAGGTTTGTCTCTGTACAAACAGGGCAAGCTCGTGCATTAACCATTTCACATTACATATTTATGAAGGAAATGAAAATTGTGAGAACGCCACTCTTCCCCCTGGATTTACATCCTTGCAGAGGGTGAATATTACTGTCTGTCACTGTTGTTATTGAAACAATCACTGCTTTTGTATTATGTTGACACTGGATGTGTACTGCCGCTAGCTCCCTTTTTGTTCTGTCATTGTAAAAACTTTTATAAACTTATATAATTTAGCGTTACAGTTGACACTTGTACAACATTTCAGTGTTATGTGTTGGATACACACCTCCTTCATTTACATGCAGACTTCTAGACTTCAGTTTGGAAGTCGACATGGATCAATGTATACTTTCGAAAAACGTAATTTTTAAGCTGCCGGAAAAGTGAACAAGTGTTGCAGTCAATATAATATTCTTAGAATGCGGAAAGCTTGAAAACGGTATAAAAATCTGTACGGAAACGTCGCCATTGTCAAAATATAGAAGTTGATCATTCATGAAGTCTTGTCATCGTTGAAGACAGTACTGCCACTAACACTAACGAAAAGAACACTGCTTCGGACACAACAACCAACACTGTAACCAAGACAACCACCAACACTGCCGCCGACACAATCATCAACACTGTCACCAACACCGACCTGAACACAAAATCTGCAACCGACACAACCGCCCAAAGTGCCTCCAACACAACCGGCAAAACTGCCACCAACACTGGAACCAAAACTGCCACCAACACTGCAACCAAAACTGCCTCCAACACTGAAACCAACACAACCGCCAAAACTGCCTCCAACACTGAAACCAAAACTGCCACCAAAACTGCAACCAACTGCCACCAACGCTGCCACCAACACTGCAACAAAACTGCCATCAACACTGCAACCAAAACTGCCACCAGCAATGTAACCAAAACTGCCACCAACACTTCCATCAACACTGCAACCAAAACTGCCACCCAAAACTGCCACCAACACTGCAACCCACACAGCCACCGACACTGCAACCAAAATGCCACCAACACTGCAACCAAAACTGCCACCAGCACTGCAACCAAAACCGCCACCAGCACTGCAACCAAAACCGCCACCAACACTTCAACCAAAACTGCCACTAACACAGCAACCAACACTGCAACCAAAACTGCCACCAGCACTGCAACCAAAACTGTCACCAACACTGCAACCAAAACTGTCACCAGCACTGTAACCAACACTGAAACCAACACTGCCATCAACACTGCAACCAAAACTGCCACCCAAAACTGCCAGCAACACTGCAACCAAAACTGCCACCCAAAACTGCCACCAACACTGCCACCCAAAACTGCCACCAACACTGCAACCAAAACTGCGACCAGCACTGCAACCAAACTGCCACCAACACTGCAACCAAAACTGCCTCCAACACTGAAACCAAAACTGCCACCAACGCCGCCTCCAACTCTGCAACCAAACTGCCACCAACACTGCAACCAAAACTGCCACCAAAACCGCCAACCAAAACTGCCACCACCTCGCAACCAAAACTGCCACCAACACTGCAACCAAAACTGCCACCAACACTGCCACCAACACAATCATCAACACTGTCACCAACACCGATTTAAACATGCCAACCAAACCCATCACCAACAGTGTCCTCTACTTTACTGTAAACACTGCTACCATCACTACCGTTAACATGACCATAACACTGCCACCACGGACAGGAAATCAATCGAAACACTCGGAAGGCGGAAGTAGTGTTTCAATACGAACTAACCCTTCTCAACTTCATAATGCATAGCGGTCTGTCCATGTCGAAATACCACCTGGTGAATCAGCTACGAAAATATGTCTTTCCTGTACTAGAGGCTACAACAGTATCGCACCACAGCATGGACCACTGGGGACTGTTTTGTAGTGATTCATAAACATGTGCTTGTCATAAAGTCAAAACAGGATCATGGATTCAGATTTTAGGAGTTCGCTGCGTTGAAACTGCTTCATGATAGGGGTGTTGCAAACAGCCAGTCGCCTGCAAGCGATGTACAGCGATTCGCCTGACAACAGACCATACATTTAAAACTGTGTGCTGTAAAGTAGTACAGGAGAAATAAACATAATTTACTTGAGCACCTTGTAATGTAGTCTTATCCGCTGACTGTATAGCGATTGGCCTGACAACGGAGTGCTAAATTTCAGCCGCTTGCAATCGCACCAATCGCTTGATGAGGTCGCTGCGTTCTCAAACCAAATATTGCGGCTTAGGGAAATTTGAATTCGACGGCTGAACAAGAATTGTTTGACTTAATCAGCTGGGAAATTGGCATAGACAGCTTACATCCCAGCATTCTCAGTTTGTCCCACACCTTCAATGTAGTCATCAACAATAATAAATTCATCACTCGTCATCGAGACTCTTCTAACACGTTTTTCATTAGGGCCAGGCCAGCAAACGGTAATCGCTCCGACATTTTGGAAGAGTGAGTAACGCTTCGAGCTGTTGCAAGCCCGGGTTAAGTGATTCATTTGCTTACTCTAAGCGATTCCCGGCTTGCAACGCACCCGTTGTCTTATCCGCTCACTGTATAGAAACCGGTTGATATGGTCATACATATTCATGAGTCTGATTTTAAATACTTATACACATAAAAAAGTGGAAAATTGTGGAAAGTTATATCGAATTCACTAGTTGTGTTTGACATCCATGTCCTAATGGCAGGCCAATTCTAACACAGGATGGAGATCGACACTTAGAGGTTATGAATTTATCAATGTTTGAAAGAAAAAAATGAACTTTAGAACACATAATTTCTGCTACTGTATTCACGAGTGATGTACGAGTGTGTGTGTATACGTGCGCGTGTGTGTGCCTGTCTGTAAGAATGCATCAGTTGCAGTGTCGCTGCTACACAATCTGCCGAAACTTCCCAAATCTGCTACCACCACTTCCTCTCACAAATCTCCGTTTAACGGAGACCGGAAGGTCGCGGGTTCGATCCCCGACCGCGTCATACCAAAAGACGTTAAAATATGGTACTTGTTGGTCCCTGTCTGGCGCTCGGCATTAATGGGTACAACAAGGACTGGTCGGCTAGGAGCCAGTATAATGTGTCTGGGTGGGGTATTCATGCTTCACTGCAGCATGGTATCTCAGTGGGCTAGCACTATAAAACCAGCTTAAGTCTGGGCTAGTACAAGCAGCCGCACATACACATACACACGCATGCACGTCGTCATATGAGCGAAATATTCTCAACCATGACGTTAAACCCAATTTCACCTCACCTCACCTCATCTCCGCTTAAGGTATTTCTGTTTCAACACTCGTACAGTTGCAAAAGTGAATGTGTTTCCATCTGAGCTTCGTACATGTACTGAATCGAACGGACGCTTTACTACTGGGCTACCCGCTGCCACTGTATTATTCGTCACATATAAATGTGTACATAGCCGATGCAGTCTGAGATAAGGAAATTTAATGTAAACATAAATGTTTTTTTCACCGTAAATTTTTTTTCCTGTGAATGCCCCTGCTTGGTTTCTGTGGCCGAGGTAGGTCTCTGCAAATGCACTTAATGATCCAACAATTCCCTACGTATATGAATCTATTAACTTTATTGAATTTCAAGGTTTGGCTATCTAATAGGATTAAATTATTCACCTAAACCCACCACGCCACGTTGTATGTTGCGTAAGGCCTTAACGTCCTTCACCCCTACTGAAGGTCAAGGTCACGCGCTTGCTTTATAAAGGGATGGGGAAGTTGTACAGGGTCATTCTTTCCACATCGAAAATGTCGGACACGTTCGTCCTGTTACTGTTGGGCGCCTGTTCCCTTACTGTGGCACAGGATTTCAAGAGGACTATCATCGCTATAGAAAAACCAACTACACACGGGGAGTATATGTTTCTTAGGGGCGGATCTACGAGTGGACAGAAGCTTTCCATAAGGCACAACGTCGAACCAACTGACGAAACGTCGTTCTTCGCTCAGACGTCCAAGGGTGACTCGACGTTAACTTGGTCGTCCTACGAGAGCGGACAGGGAGTGTATCGGGAAGGCTGGATAGTGCGGTCTGCTGAGGGAACACCTATGATGTGGACAACCGATGATGAGTAGGTGCATCATGAGTGAGTGAGTGAGTCGGGGGTGTACGTGAGTGAGTGAATCGGGCGGGTGTGTGGGTGAGTGAGTGTACACCGATTATGTGGATAACGAATGAAGAGTAGGTGTATCATGATTGAGTGAGTCAGGTAAGTGTTTTGGTGAGTGAGTCAGTGAGTGGGTAGGTGGGTGTTTGGGCGAGTGAGCTAGTAGATAGGTGTGTGAGTGAGTGTGTGAGTGAGTGAGTGTACACCAATTATATGGATAACGAATGAAGAGTAGGTGTATCATGATTGAGTGAGTCAGGTAAGTGTGTGGGCGAGTGAGCGAGTAGGTACGTGTGTGTGAGAGTGAGTGAGTGAGTGGGTGGGTGGGTGTATGGGTGAGTGAGTCAAGTTAGTGAGTGAGTGGCTGGTCACGGGGGTGGTAAGTGTGCGAGTAATATTAGTTTTGATAGTAGGTTTGGTTGGTTGTGAAAGTTTTATTAACAGATTTAGTCAGTGGGTATTTGAGGGAGGCATAGTTTCGGAGACACAATGAGTCGGTGTAGGGTTGATTGACGACGTCGATAAACAGTTACTTACAAGATGAAAATCGATGATTTCTTCACATGAGGTGAGGTGAAATTGGGTTTTACGTCGTACTTGAGAATATTTCGCTCATATGACGACGTGCATGCGTGTGTATGTGTATGTGCGGCTGCTTGTACTAGCCCAGACTGAAGCTGGTTTTTTAAAGTGCTAGCACACTGAGATACCATGCCGCAGTTAAGCATGAATACCCCACTCAGACATATTATACTGACTTCGAGCCGACCAGTCCTTGTTGTACCCATTAATGCCGAGCGCCAGACAGAGACCAACAAGTACCATATTTTAACATCTTTTGGTATGACGCGGTCGGGGATCAAACCCGCGACCTTCCGCTCTCCGGGCGGACGCTCTAACCACTACACCACGGGGTGGTATCTTCACATGACCAAAGACGGGTAGACTGGGGCAGCACACTAGATCTGTAAAGAGTGTAAACAACCTCCATGCACACAGGCATCAGACAAACCATTTCAAGCCGCCATGTTTGTTCAGGTCCTTCGGTACCAACGTCGACACCGACGGCGCCGGGTACTGGGAGCTGAACACGGAGGGAAGCGGCTACTGGGTGGTGGACGTCGACATGGACTGCAGTGCCACCCAAGGAGGCTGGTTCGCATTCAAGGTACGTCCATGGTCCTACTCCTATTTAATATACTCTACCATACACACAAACAAACCCACGCAATCACTCACTCATTCAGTAACATGAGACCACCAAGATAGTGGTTGACATGTGAGGCCATTAGGAATGTGCAATATAATCAAGTTTATATTAATCGTTGTGGTTAAGAACAGATTTCAACGTGAAGATCCACGTTAGATTTCGTCTTCAGCAACCCATGCTTGTCGTAAAAGGCGACCTACGGGATGGGGTGGTCAGGCTCGCTGTCTTGGCTGTCACACTCTTCGTATCCCATTTGCGCAGATCGATGCGCACGCTTTTGATCACTGGATTGTCTGGTCCAGACTCGATTATTTACGAACTGCCGTCACATAGCTGGAATACTAACTATTGCCGAGGGGGCAACAAATAACAATAACAAACGAACAAATAAACAAACAAAAAGACAAACAAATAAGAACAAATTTACATTTTTGTAGCTACTGAACGCTCCTGCTAACATTGATCTTACTGAATGAATAGGCCAAAACAACCAAACCTGGTCCATATATTACCATAGTGTTAAAGGCGATCTCTTAAACGTCAGATAGAGACGGAAGTACAATAAAAGTATAAACACAGCCATGTGACATGCTCCGAGACGACTGGTCCTTGTTGTATTCTCTTAACGCCGAGCACTAAGTACGGCAATTGTACCATCCATCTTTTAAATGTATTTTATCATGATGGGGCTAGTGGTCGAACCGACCATTAGCTCTTGGGGCAGAAGTTTTATTCGTAGCAGTCACAAGGGATCATTGTGTCGGTTAGTGAGTAATAGAACTAGTTTAGCGCCGCTTTGAACAGTATATCAGTTATATAAGAGTGTGGCGGTTTGAGATTGGAAGAACGCCTGAATTACATACATGTAGCTCACTGAAAACCACAAACACACGTTTGGTGGTAGCAAACCAGGAAGTAGAGCGAATCTTGGATTCAAACCAATGATCACAGGTTTAAGTGAGTAAGTGAGTTTAGTTTTACGCCGCTGTATCAATATTCCAGCAATACATGACACGAGACATGTGCTTCAAACATTGTGCACATGTAGAAAATCGAACCCGGGTCTTCGGCGTGACGAGCGAACGCTTTAACCACTATACTACTCCACCGCCCCCACATATCCTAAGGGATTACCCGTGCCCCTTGAACACATTGCGAAAACTACTTTGAGGGGCATCATCCCCCCTCCCTATGAACAGCATTTATTTAATTTTTAATTTTAAAAAGCAACCTTGGTTGATCTGATAATTGTAAGTGAGAGTTCATGTCACAGGGCTACCTTATCGACCTCTACCGCTACAAGTCGGAATGGGAGGGCAGCTACATTAACCAGTACTCCTGCGACGTGAACGGCACCCGCGTCAACGTCCCCGGCGCACAGTCGTGGAACCACTACGGTATCTGCGGCTTCTTCAACATCGTCCGCTGGAATGATGGTAAATGCATGGCTCAGGAGGTGGCCGTTGTTGAACAGTTTGTGGAGGTAATTAGATCCCCGCCAACTCCGGAACTCCTTGCGGAGATTTAGTCCTTCCTTGGAGAGGAGCAATAAATCGTATAAAACTGTTTGGCTTTAATTTGTTGTATTTTGTTTTGGTGTGTGGGGCGCCATTATGTTCGCTTGCCGATTCTGACTCTCATCTCACCTTGAAGGTTTGGACTGTCACCAATAAAACGAAAGACTTGAGGTGAAAGATCTTTTACCAAAGCAAGACCAATATTGTTGATCAATCTCCCAAACCCAATAGCGAAGGTCGATGCTCATGAAGTTGATCACTGGATTGTCTGGTGCAGACTCGATTATTTACAGACCGCCGCCATATAGCTGAAATATTGCTGAGTGCGGCGTAAAGCTATACTCACTCACTCAATCTGCAAAACAACATCCAGGACAGTTCAAGTGAATGCTGAAAACAGTTTTCTTTTACATTGTCTTTGCCTGAGGGCGGTGGGGTAGCCTAGTGGTTGAAGCGTTGGCTCGTCACGCCGAAGACCCGGGTTCGAATCCCCAAATGGGCACAATGTGTGAAGCCCATTTCTGGTGTCCCCCGCCGTGATGTTGCTGGAATATTGCTAAAAGCGGCGTAAAACCAAACTCAGTCAGTCAGTCAGTCAGTCTTTGCCTGAGCACATCTGAGCAGTTTGTTGGGATATACTTTTATTTATTATTATTATAAGGGGCGGTGGGGTAGCCTAGTGGTTAAAGCGTTGGCTCGTCAATCCGAAGACCCGGGTTCGAATCCCCACATGGGTCCAATGTGTGAAGCCCATTTCTGGTGTCCCCCCGCAGTGATTTTGCTGGAATATTGCTAACAGCGGCGTAACACCGAACCCACTCAGTCAGTCAGTCAGTATTATTATTATAAACCGGTGTTCAACCGTCACAATCAATTCTAGACACAGTGTTGTAATGAGTGTATGGCGTGAGTGAGTGTGTGTATGGCGATTATATTCTAAGCCACATCAGCTTTGCGTTAGCTGTAACGCTAAATGCATATGAATCCATTCATGCATTTTGACCCAACGACTCATCTAAAGGTGTGTTGTACGTTAAACTGTCAAAACTAAATGTAATTTACCTGATACGCCTTGAATATCCCAGCATTGAAAGCATGTCGGCCGATACACCTTGGCTACACTACGACGATGCTGAAGGCATATTGGAGTGAGTGAGTGAGTGAGTGCGTGCGTGCGTGCGTGAGGATTACGCTGCCTTGAACAGTATTCTAGTTATACAGTACAACCAGAAAATATTGAGAATTTAAAGATTGTAATTTATTAATTTTTGTCACCCATTACTCACGTATTAAATGTGAATATTAGCAGAACATAACTCCAGATTCAAAGACAGGTGAACAGTTAGTATTTTGTCAAGTCACCATGGGCAGCAATGCAGGCTTCAAAGCGACGGGGCATACTACTGATCAAAGAAGTTAGAAAGTCGTGGTCCATGCTGTCCCAATATCGGACCACCTCTTCTTTCATTTCAGCAATATTTGTCAGATTTTTCTAATTGACACTTTCCTTCATAAGTCCCCAAATATTTTCTATTGGATTTAGGTCAGGGCTATAGCTTAGCCAATTTAATAATGTCATATTTGGGGTCAGAAACCAGGCCTATGAATGCTTTGAACGATGTTTTGGGTCGTTGTCCTGCTGGAAAATCCACAAATGTCCATAGAACACGTGAACAGAACACGTAAATGTCCCTCGAGAATATCTGTGTACCGCTCACTGTTCATATTCCCTTTAACAACACAGAGGGGCGTTGTCCCTAACACAGATATGCCACCAAACACGTTAAATTTTGGACTGTACTTTGGGCGCTGAAACAAAGGTTTTCAGTTTGTTTGGTCCAGAATTTCAGTGTATTAGGAAACAGCCACACAGAACTTTCATCTGAGAAAATCACATTGTCCCAGTTAAAATTTCTATGCTGTAAGCACCAGTTCAACCTTCGCTCCTTTTGTTCAGGTTTCATGATCGGTGATGGAATTCCTCGACTTTTTTGCCAACCCATTGCATGCAGCATAGTTCTAATTGTCTCCTTACAGACAGCCACAGTTCCTCTATCAATCATATCCAGCCATATGTTTTCTAAACTCCTTCGTTTGTTTTTAGAAACAAGAATACCAAGCCGCCTCCTATCACCGACAGTTAATTTTCTGGGCCTACCTGCGCCTCCCTGGTGCTCAATGCCATATCCATTTGCAATATTTTTCAAAACACGATAAACAGTGGACAAAGGGATGCCTGTTCTACTTGAAATCACTTTAGCTGATCTGATGTCCTTGTTGTAATACTCTAAAATCAAGTTCCTCTTCTCTAAATCATCCATACTGAGGATCACTGAAAATGTCGTCTGCTAGCAAGTAAACAAAGGGGGATAATTCTTCACAAACTAATGAAAAAGGATTAACGGAGTTGTCTCTTGAATGAAACCAAGCACTTGATAGCTGGTCAAGGTTGTTTATACAAGAAATCCAATTAAACATATTCCTAAATTTCTCAATAATTTTGGTCATACTATATCACAGCGTGTCAACCTAAAGTAAAATGAAAGCCGAAAATAGAGCATGTATCACTGCCTTAGGCGACAGGACTTTTAAAGTATGAGTGCTGTACACGACTTCGTCGTGTGCACCATGTACAACGGCCACAGGCACAAGCTTACTCTGATTCGGCAGGTTCCCGATGCCGACACTTGCCGGTGTGGAACCCATCACGCCGGACTCTACAACTCAGGTGAATATTTTACAATATCATGATAATAATCCTCCAATACACCAATTGTAACCCGTAAGACAATGCTTCAGCTGGCCATAACTTGCGGGAGTAGCTTAGCATCATGGGAGACCTGTCAATTCCAACAAGGCTGTAACACTGTTAATGTTGACCCTGTTGTCAAAACAAATGCAGAAAGTCTATACATGTGAAATGTGTCATTTACAACAAAGGGGGAAATTGTATAACTCGTGTGAACAATTTGTGTCAAGGCATACATTTATCTGAAGGAGGTCACTGCTTTTATTAGAAACCCATGGCCTACTTACTTATCTGCCACGTGGGTTATTTCAACCACGTGGCTCGCGCATCCTACCATCTTCATCCTAACATGTGCATAAACATGCACGCAAATATATGCATAAACATGCATGCAAATCTGTACATAAACGTACACGTAAATATGTACATAAACATACATTGAGGATACTAAACAACCTTCCGTGTAATACCATTTTTATTTAACGAGTTAATGATTTGATGCTTAATCTTTCACGAGTTTAATAAAAATGGTATTTCACGGAAGCTAGTTTAGTATTCTGTTTATTACTCTCCAACATAAATTGATAGATAACTCTCAGCTTTCCACGAGTCAAGTAAGGTCTAATACCATTGTGACTGAGGTATTAGCATTGTGACGTCATAACTGTAAAACATTATGACGTCATACGTCTAGCGGTATTACAGTAGCGTAATATTGTCGTAAAAATATTACGCTGCAGTATCTTCCACGGGCGAGTAATAAACGCAAATATGTACATAAACATCCACGTAAATATGTAAATAAACATATACCCACATGTGCATAAACATGCACGCAAATATGTACAAAAACAGGCACGCAAATATGCACATAAACATGCACGTAAATATCTACATAAACATATACCCACATGTGCATAAACATGCACGCAAATATGTACAAAAACATGCACGCAAATATGTACAAAAACATGCACGCAAATATGTACGTAAACATGCACGCAAATATGCAGATAAACATGCACGCAAATATGTACAAAAACATGCACGCATATATGTATATGAACATGCACGCAAGTATGTGCATAAACATGCACGCAAATATGTACATAAACATGCACGTAGATATGTATATAAACATGCACGCAAATATTATGTGCATAAACATGCACGCAGATATGTACAAAAACATGCATGCAAATATGTACAAAAACATGCATGCAGATATGTACATAAACATATACCCACATGTACATAAACATGCACGCAAATATGTGCATAAACATGCACGCAGATATGTACAAATACATGCACGCAAATATGTACAAAAACATGCTCGGAGATATGTACATAAACATAAACCCACATGTACATAAATATGCACCCAAATATGTGCATAAACATGCGCGCAAATATGTGCAAAAACATGCATGCAAATATGTGCATAAACATGCACGCAAATATGTACATAAACATGCACGCAAATATGTACATAAACATGCACGCAGATATGACCGTAAACATACACCCACGTATAAATATACATAGACACATGTACATAAACATATGTGCAAATATTTACATGAAAGAACATACAAATACGTACACAAGCGAGCGCGCGCACACACACTCACACACACACATAACATACATACATACATACATACATACATACATACATACATACATACATACATACATACATACATACATACATACATACATACATACATACATACATACATACATACATACATACATACATACATACATACATACATACATACATACATACATACATACATACATACATACATACATACATACATACATACATACATACATACATACATACATACATACATACATACATACATACATACATACATACATACATACATACATAGAATAGAATAGAATAGAATAGAATAGAATAGAATAGAAGAAGAAGAATAGAATGATACTTTTATGCCTTTTCAGCAGAGCTACTGACACATCAGAGAGATACAAAACATATTTACATAAATTCATTGATTTAGGTATCTTCACATTTGTTTAAGAGAGATATGGTACTTGGAATAAAGGATGTACGGGCTCTCTTAGTTTTCACAATTGGAACTTTGTAGCGGCGGCCTGAAGGAAAGAGGTTGTATTCCGCATTTAAGTAGCGAGTAGGGTCAGATATAATTTTGACAGCTTGATTCACGATTTGCCGCTCATATATTGATGATAGACATTCAAATCTGACTCCAGCGATTTTACTTGCAGTGTTAACAATTTTGTCTATTTTAGATTTGAGATG